TAATACAATGTAGTCAGGTTTTTATGGCAAGATATAAGCTCCTGGCAGTCTGGCCAGGAACGCAGCCTGAATTAGGCTTCACCTTCATCCCTACGAATTTGATAAGGTCACAGTAATATTTACAATAAATAAACTATATTTTTTGGTAGATAATTCAGATTTGGCAGAAAATCTTAAAAACATTGTAAGAATCCACACATAAAAAAATCTCCTTCTCCAATCCTTCCTATAAATGAACTAGAAATAAAAAAGTGAAATATTTATTTTAGTTACCTATGATATATTGAGATCTATATACTCCAAGCATTGTACCCAAGTCACCTTAACAGTTGGTGACATTACAGTTAAGTTTCCAGCATATTTTGGATGATACAAAAACCACCAAATGTATACTCAGAGAATTAATGCTCATAGTTCCTTGAAACATGTCCGTAAATCATTTACTTATAATTTATTCATCTTTTTCTCAAAATGATTAGAAGAAGCTTTCTGAAGCTTCTTGTGCAGTACTGTTTACTTAAATATAATGTTTTCTTGGTCTAATAAGAATTTAAAAATTTGAACAAATTCTACAAAAATACGCAAAAGATTTTATCTACCATTTGCTGTATCAAAACATTTCTTACAAGTATTAGATTAAGGATTTGACCAAGTACTTCTATTGTTAAGCTCAGCAATACCTGGACTATTTTCACTGCTAACTGTATTTGAACTCTGCAATTCTACAACTCATTTGTTTAAATGACACTAACATTCTTTAATACGTTGCCAACCCACTGAGCCTGTGCTTAGTGCATCCATAGGTAAACACTCATCAAATGTTGCTTTAGCCTTGCTCCACGGCAATTCTACCTCCTGGCATCATAAAAAATTCCTATGCTTTTTAATCTACTACAAATGAGAATCACTTGTTAATAAATATATAGAACCAGCTTACAGTCATATTTTTCATTTAAAATAATTTTTAATGAAAAATACCCATATCATTACATCTTATTTTTTCTTCCCTTATCTTATTCTGTCCTATTCTTAGACTCTACTGTGTGTATCCATAAATGTACATACACATCTTTTTTATTTTTTTAAGATGGCATCTCACTCTGTCATCCAGGCTGGAGTACAGTAGCATGAATCATGGTTCATTGCAGCCTCAAACTCCTGGGCTCAAATGATCCTCCTGCTTGAGCCTCCCAAGTAACTGGGACTACAGGTGAATGTCACCATGCCCAGGTAATTTTTTTTGTTTTATTTTTTGTAGAGATGTCTCACTTTGTTGTTGCCCAGGCTGGTCTCAAATTCCTGGCCTCAAGTGATCCTCCTGCCTCAGCCTCCCCCTGTTGGGATCACTGGCATGAGCCATTGCACCTGGTCCATACATATCTTAAGGTTATCTATTAACATACTTTAAAAAATAGATTGAAGATAAAATGCATTTTCAGAATATCTGTGAGTTAAAAACAGGAAAAATATAATACTAGCTATGTAAAATTATGTACTTTTAGTTTATCAAGTTGTTACAGAGATTAAGAGGTAGAATTGTTTTGAAGTTTAAGCTAAACAACAATTACACCAATAAACTTGTAAAGCTTTGTTTTTGCAAATATAGGAAGGTTGTTGGAATGAAAAAGGTATGCCCATATAATTTATATA